TCTTAATCCTAATTATTTCTGCCATCAGCCCTCTCTGTTCTCTCTTTTCCTCCTCCCCAAACCCTCCGTAAACAAGGTGGGATTTTTGGGCAGCGTCCATCTGGCCGACTCCTCGCCCTCCGCGTTTCCCCGAGCTTGTGAATCGAGGTGCTTGGGAGGCCCCCCCTCCTTTATGGCCACTGCTGAAGGGGTCCCCAGAGCTTCCCACAGCTGCAGATCTGGGGCCGGGAATGGCTGGAATTTCCTGCCCGCTCCGCACAGCCCTCGCTGCCTTCTCCGGGCAGCGCTGGGGTTGGGGGGCGGCTGCTTCTCGCACCCTGGGCTGGGTGTAGGGGATGGAAAATTCCCAGTATGAGCTTCCCGTGCTGGGAATGATGCTTTGGGCGAGGATTTCCCTGTGCTGGGGCATTTCAGCCGTACTTTTCTATCCCTGCTGCTTGGAGGTACTTCATGGTCTGGCTCCAGCCTTCCCGGAGATATGAATGGGTATTAACACCTACCTCTGCTGTGGGCTAGGGTTTTTTTGGCTGGTTCCCAACCAGCATTGTGGCTCAGGCCTGGGGGAAAGAAAAAATTAATCAAAAACATCTCTTTTTGCTGCTTCTCACGTCGGCCGCTCTGGCCCTGGGTCCGCAGCTCTGCTCTGCTGAGTAATTCCCTTCTGAGGGGCACACAGAGCCTGGTCCGTCTCCGGCTTCACAAATAAATACATTTATTTCTGCTGGAGTTTGTGCTAACGGCAACCTCGCCTTATTCTGTGGCAGCTTTCGTTCTCATTGCTCAGCCAAAATTGTGCCTTGCACTCAAAAAACATCAAAACCCTGAAAATCCTCCCGATTTCAGGAGCTTTCTGGGTTGTCCTCACCTTGTAGCATCTCCTAGGCTTTCCTTGGTGAAAGCAATGCTGTGCTGGGATGTCCCCAGGCTGGATTTGATTTCTTCAATCTGTTTGTCCCTGCTCCTCCGTGTTAGAAAGCTTTTTGGAGGAAGGATTTAGAGCTCTTTGGGGTCCCTTCTGAACTCAGAGCCAGCACAAAGGCTGGATTTACACTAAAAAAGTAGGCGAAGGGCAGTTCTGGCACATCGGAGGTGTGAGACATGTCCCCTTTTGAACAGAAAGAGGCTCACACCATGGAAAAGCTTCATTTTAAGGCTGCTTCTCAATAACTATTGCTTCGATCCTGCCCAGGCTGAGCCCAATGCTCCTCATACAGACGATGCTCTGAAGGTGTTACAAGAAATTTACATCCACCAAAGAGGAAATACCATTGCAAAGCATCCAAGCAGGAGGATAGACCGTAAATCCATCTGTCTGGGGTCTCTGTTGAAGGAAAAACACTCATTGCAAGTGGAAAACTTCCTAGTGCCGAAAATGTCCCCCTAAAGAAGCTGTCTAAGGATGCCTCAAGCAAGATCTCCAGTTTTGGCCACTGGATTTGAGTCATTTCCAGACCAGAAGGGCTGGGAATTCAAGTTAATAGTTGACCAGGGCTGCAGCCAGGGCAGAAACATCTTTGTCCAAGTGGGACAGAGGTCTCATTTTTGGCAGATGCTGTAAACTTGGAACGAAAGAAGAAAAAAATGTGATTCCTGCCGTGACAGGGCAAAAGCTGCTTTTTATTTGCTCACCTGACCCATCCTGTTTGTGTTTTATTTAGAAACGGCTGAAGGTCAAGATGGCATCCACTCTGCCGATTCATCGTGACGGAGGCAAGGGGGAAACATGAGATGCAGCTTCCCAAACATCCTCTCCCGCCTCTGCAATGGAGCAAATCTCATCCATGATGGGACTGATGGGTTTTCCCCTTCTCTGGGGGGTTTCCCCTTCTCTGGGGGTTTTCTCACCCCAAATTCCTCCTGCAAGCGCTGAAGTCACCTCCGTCCACCAATTTGTCCAGGGACCAAGCCCTGAGGAACTTCACATGGCAGCAGATACAGAGGCTGTGCTGCTCTGCCCTTCACAGCTGAAAATTAGACCATGGGAAAGCATCGCCTACCTCACTTGTGGTATTTTACAGGAAATATTGCCCCGTCAGCATCCGATTTGCTCAACCCGTGCGGTTTCGGGGAGCACAGGAGGTCATGGGGAGCACCTTTGGTCCCAAATTTGCCTCGCAAAGGGATGCTCTGAGTGGGGGATGCTGTAACCCCAGTCCTGGGGCTGATACACGCCTGTTTCTGCGAGGGCTTTGGGTTTTGTCGGGGGCTCTCAACGCCTTTTTGGGAGCTGCTTCCTCAACAGCAGCAAGGACCTGAGAGACCAAAAATCCAGAGGGCAGCACTTCCCCCCTTGCTGTTGCAGAAATACAACGGGGTTTCCGCAAGCGCGCGGGGGCGAGCGACTGCAGGGAAGTTTTGTGTTTTTCGGGGAATGGAAGCACCCCCAATCTCCCTCCCTGATGCTCACCCCCAGCTGCCCCCCATCTTCTAGGCTGTGGGGAGCAGAGTGGGGCTGACACCCCTGGTCCCCTTGGCTTCTCCAGTCCTGCTCCGAGCTCTGCTCCAGTTGGGTCAAGCTCAAGGCTGCAGTGGCTTGAATTTCACAAGGAAGTGACTGAAGTTCTTGTTCTCCTTCTCTTTTCTTTCAGTGTTTGATCTCAGCGTTCGCAACCGGGGCCTCTTCCCTCTGCGAGTGGCAGCAAGCATCTGCCGTGTCCCCACTGCCCTCCCTGAGATCACCTCACCTCTGGAGATGGAGAGAAGGTGGAAAGCTAATTTTCATCATCACACTCTGAGCTGTCACTGGGCTCTCTAGCAGCTTTTCCAGCCACTGGCCTCTGTGTGATGCTTTAATCACCAACATTCCCAGTTTTTCCCCCATTCACTGCATGCAGAGGAGCGATGGCACCAGGGAATTGGCTCCTCCTCATCCTCAGCCCCTCCGAAATCTGGGAGCCCCTGGCCACCAGCAGCCCCATGGCCAATTGCCCATTAATTGCTGTCCCAAGGGTGTCAAGGGAAGCACATGTGATGCAATGACTGGAGAGGACCCCACATCCCGCCAGGAAGCAGCAGCGTTGGATAAATCCAACCTTCTGATGCTAAAGACAACGCAAAAACAGCCCGCCCAGGGATGGAGGAGACGTGGGATGGTGCTGGCATGCAGGTCCGGGGCCACGCGATCGCATTTTGCGGGATGTGCTGGGACATTTCACAACAGGTCACTCAGCATTCACCGCCGCCACTTTTAAAATACACAAGTTTTATGGCTGCTGCCGGACTGTAAATCTCCGACTTCCACGGCTGGCGCCTTTTTGGGGAAAACATCCGGCTTTGGCAAACGTTGATGCTTGCCGAGCATGAGCTGCTGTGCGTCACCCGTGGATGGGGCTCGCACCCACGGACAGAAAATTCATTGCCATGGCAGAAATGCAGAATTTAGGGCTTTGCGGGGTCTTGCTCAAGGGTCAGGCGATGTGGCTGGAAGGGGTCAGGGCCTCTTCCTGTGCCATGCGGCTCCAGTTCAGCTTTGGGTGAATGTGTTTGTCTCCATTAAGGTGATGGAGGGAGATGCTCTGCCCCAGGGATTTGTGGTGGTCCTGCGGTGATGCTCCCTCCCCCTTCTTCCTTGAATTAGGAGGGGCTAAAGTGTTGTGGCCACCCCAGTTTATAAAATCCGAGAGGGGCTCAGTGCTCTCAGGAGCTCCTGAAGGATCCCACAGCTCTGGCTTAAGCAAAAACCAGTGCCCGGAGCAGCTCCCCATGACTTCTCCGTTTCATGTGGTTCTGGGTGAAATCATTTGGTCTCGGTTTTGCCCTGTGCAACCCCTTGGGAAATGGAGTGAGGAAGGCAGGAATAACACCGGAGTCAGCTCCCGTGGAGGATAAACAGCCCTAAATCATGGGATTACTGCAAGCACACTCGTCCTGTGGCAGGGGCACAAAGTCCAGGCACTTGGCTCAGCTTCAGCACATTTGGGAATAACCAAAACTCATCTGACTGGGGCTTTCACATCCTTCTGCTCATGTTTTTTGGTAAAAGCATCCCTTATGAGAAGGGAAGAGATAGGTGGCCCCATGTCGGCTTCGGTGGCTCATTCCCACGTGGGTTTTCTCTTCTCCGGTGCTTGTGCAGCCCCGGTTTGGCACCGCGCTTCCCACCACACATGACCACGCTGGATTGGAGCCATCCCGGCTACATCCCAGCTGCCTTCGGGCTGATGTAACCCCAGCCACCGTTGCTTCAGGGACCAAATCTGGGGGCAGAGCCATTCCCTGGCCGCACTGGGGAGCCGCTGCTGCAAGCCAGGCTGTGGTGTCGTCAGCTGTTTGGTGGGACAAGGTCCGACACTGCTCCGCTTCCTACTCCGTGCATGTACTGACATGATCCAGGCTGCCTGGATGCCACCTCCTAGCTCCAGTGCCTGCTTTGGAGGGGTTTTTGGAACGGGCTGTGTGCCTGGCTCAGTCCCCTGTGACATCGGGGACCTGTGTGTCATCAGGGACCAGTGTGAGGTGCAGGATGGAGAAGGCAAGGATGCAGGGATGACCAAGCTGTGCTGAGATGCTGCCCGCAGTGCTCACTCACCTGCACCTCATCCCCTCTCCATCACCCCCTGCCACCTCCTCTCCATCACCCCCTGCCACCTCCCAAGCCATCAGATGCTGCCTGTGGCCACTTGCCCCTCACCGATGGGGCAAGGGAGAAGAAGGGGAGAAGCTGACATGGCAGTCCGTGGGGAAAACGAGAAGTGGAAGGGAAATACCTATGTCCCAGGAAAAATATTACATATTTTTTCATCTCCAGCAGCTGCAAAGCAGCTTCCAAACCGCCCATCAGCGCTCCCGTGCGAAATCTCGGGCAGAGACCGGAGATTCCCGCCGGGTGTTTGCTCCGGCGTCACCCCGGGACGGGGAGGGGGGGACGCGGGGCGGGCAAAGTTCGGCTCCTATAAAGTCAGGTGCTGTCCACTTCATTCATTCCCAGGGGAAGCATCGTCGGGAGCCGCACGCCCATCTTTTACACAGGAGGTTTTTGGAAAGAAATCCCCGCCGGAGCGATGCCGACGGCGCTGCGGGATGTGGGAGCCGCCCTCACCTGCCTCCAGCTCCTGGCGCTGCTCGGGGGCGCGGAGATGTGGGAACGGGATGAGATGCGGCTGGAAGCCATCAAAAAGGGGATCCTGGAGCGCCTGGGGATGCCGGCACCCCCCGTGATCCGGCACCGCCTGGACCCTGAGAGCACCCGGCGAGCGCGGTTGCTATACCGGCACCGAATGGCCGAGCTGACGGGGAACCGGACCCGGGAGGAGGGAGCTGTGGCCGGGGCCACGCATCTGCATCGCC